TCGAAATAATGGCAACAGCCTTACCGAATAGTTATTTGATTTTATGAAACCCAACTTTCTCGAACTTAAAATGTCCACCGAGCCAGAATAGCATGCGCACTCTGTCTCACATATGTCACTTTCCATAGTGGTCCAGTCTTCACTATTTGTGCTAAAATTACTTACATGTATTTCAGTACAAACTGTAATGATATGTGTTGAATCTATTTGTATAGTTTAGTGACAATATTGTAGCTAATGATGTATCTGAGCAGAAGATATTAGATGCAACACATTTTTTAAATGATCACTCACTGCCCGTTGGTGGTATCATAAATTGGTAATGCTACCATCTTACATACAAACAGAAAATGAAATATGCTGATACAATAATATAATATCACGTGTGGTTCGCGGATCCTGACTGCGTCACTCGTACTGGGGGTATGTGCGTCAGTCGGTCGCATTTTGGTTACCCCCCCCCCCCAAACAAAATCGTTATGTACGCCCCTGGTTGAGCAATATGGTTATGAAATAATGGAGATCAGAATTTGTCCGTATTTTTGTAAATCGCATTGAAACCACGTGATTCTCTTTCCACTAAAATATAAACCCACACCTCCTTTTAATTAGACCCTACATTAGTTTTACTATTACAGGTAGCTGTAAACCTCTAGCACAGAGTAAAAATATCTGTGTGTATTTTTACTCTGTGCCTCTAGTTCTGGGCCCTGTTTCACGAAATTTTAACTAAAGATAAACTTCAGTTTTTACGAAGGCCCATTAGTGCCAAACAAAAAAAAAGTATTAATCCGTTTGAACTAGTTAGTATCTCGTTTGAACGAATTAGTATCTCGTTTGAATGAATTAATTATCTCGTTTGAACAAATTAGTATCTCGTTTGAACGAATTAATTATCTCATTTGAACGAATTAGTATCTCGTTTGAACGAATTAGTATCTCGTTTGAACGAATTTGTATCTTGTTTGAACGAATTAATTATCTCGTTTCAACGAATTAATTATCTCGTTTGAACGAATTAGTATCTCGTTTGAACAAATTAGTATCTCGTTTGAACGAATTAGTATCTCGTTTGAACGAATTAGTATCTCGTTTGAACGAATTAATTATTTCGTTTAAACGACTTAGTATCTCGTTTAAACGAATTAATTATCTTGTTTGAACGAATTAGAATCTCGTTTGAAGGAATTAGTATCTCGTTTGAACGAATTAATTATCTTGTTTGAACGAATTAATTATCTTGTTTGAACGAATTAATTATCTCGTTTGAACGAATTAATTATCTCGTTTGAACGAATTAATATTTCGATTGTAGCCTACAGAAGCATGGAAGGGACATGCAGAAATTGTCTTTCAAATAAAGATAATATGCTTTAATGCGCGTAGGTTCTTTACTATTTCTGACGTTAGCGCCAGTAGAAGGAAATGAAATGAAATGGGGTTTAACGTCCTACTCTTTTGCTCCTAAACTGGGGCTAATGAAGACGGGACCAGTAGAAGGAACTACATTTGTGAAAAAGGGAATTAGTATAGAATACTGTGGAAATTTTCCAATTTGTTTAATGTTAGCCACAACATTGTAGTGAAGTCATTTTTTATGTCATGTATGTGATTAAACAGGCATTATGACAGGTATATGTATGATATTGTAAGGACGTGGATTTGAAATGCACCCAATTAAGAAATAAAATGGTAGATTGTGCCTTAGCTGAAATTTCACTAGCTCAGTGAACAGCACTACAGGTATATGATTGCTTGTCAGCAATGTTTACATATTAAGGATTAATTTTATTGTTGCCAGATGAACTTATTTCCAGTGTTGATTGCCTTGGAAGAGGATTTAGGTGAGTTTATAAGATAGAGGGGTGAGGTGGGAGTGTTCAAAGAAATAACTAATTTTCGCATGCAGCATGCAAACCAAAGCACGAGTAGTAGTACTGCAAAATTTATCGCATTGCACGTCGCATTCCTCCAACGAGGGAACCTTGCGGAGAAGCGACGCTGTCGTTGGCCGACTTCCTTGATAGGACAGAGGACTTGAAGCCGGTGGCTGCATAGGGGAACGCTGGCTCAAGCGAGGAACAGCTGTTCTAACCGCCCTACGCTTGATTACCGGTGAAAGCCGACACAGAGGCCTTTCCCTCTTGGTTCAACTTGAGCCATTGATCCCCTCTGCGGCTCTCTGTTTCACCCTAGTGGGAGGGATGAGACGTGCAATGTGGGCAATGTTTCGGCACAATTACATGTACTACGCTTGCTTCGTTTAGCATACTGCTACTGCATTCCACGGGTTTTTCGTGTCATCCACAGTTTTTGTGTCATCCGAAGATTACAGACTTTTCTAACAAGACTCGTGCCATTAAAGTAGACGTCGCAAATAAGTTGATTCTTCAACCACTCTATCTTAGAAACTAGAAACTCACCCAAATCCTCTTACATCCGTTCTATTGCAACACAGTCAACACTAGGAATAAATTAACTCTGGGATAATACTTTAATGCAAAGTTTAATTAATATGTAAACCCACGTTGACAAGCAATCGTATACCTGTAGTTCTGTTCACTGAGTTACCGAAAATTCAGCTAAGGCATAATTATTTCTTAATTGGGTGCGTTTCAAATCAAGGTCTTTACAATATTTAAAGATACATTATGTAAGAGTTAGAGAAAGAGCTGATCGTTCTTGTAATAATAGTTCTTGTAAGATAATGCGAAATGAATATATTGAGATTTTCATTAAGTTACTTTATTCTGAGCGACGATATTAGCCTTTGAAGGTTTGCAATGCATGGAATGTACTGGTTGTTCGAGGCTTAGCCTCACTTTACCATTTTTCAATTAAATCATTAAATGGCCTAACCGTTCTAATCTACTTAAACATGTTAATAAATGTCTAATGAACATTTGAAGGGCTAATCCCGATAATATTTTTGAGAATAAAACTGCTTAATTTTGTGTTAAAATCCTTTTAAATCCTTCACCATAGGGTCGAGCAACAAACTCAATATATGTGAATATTTTCAAACAACTTAAACCCGTCGGTCTTAATCGGTGGTGTCCCAAGCTGTATTATGCGGTGTCTGGATAAAACTAGACTTTTATTTTATAAAATTAATGTGTAGGTGAAATTTACCTTTCGTTATCAATATATGTGAATATTTTCAAACAACTTAAACCCGTCGGTCTTAATCGGTGGTGTCCCAAGCTGTATTATGCGGTGTCTGGATAAAACTAGACTTTTATTTTATAAAAATAATGTGTAGGTGAAATTTACCTTTCGTTATCAAGTACAGCACATGGGCCATTCACTGTATAGACCTCTAAATGAACAGGAATCGATTCAGGTCACTCAACGAAAAATCTGACCCGAAATCTTAAAAGGGTTACGTGTCAGGATAAGCAGTTTTGGTGTTCACGTCCAAACGACTAAATATTTTGAACTGAAATTTTGAGACAGGGTAAATACACTATTCCTCTATATTTTGGTACTTAAATTTCATACGTACTCGGACTTTTATTTTTGAGACTCTGTTCAAATTGGGATAGTCCCTTTAAGGCCTACAGAAAGAGCTGCAATGGGCAAATTTAGCTGTTACATAATGCCTGTTTAAGCATATACATGTCATAAAACAATGACTTCACTATGATGTTTTGCCTAATTCAGGCTAACATTAAACATATTCAGCTTTTAAAACGTGGATAACTTCCAACATATTCTATACTAATTCTCCTTCTCATAAATGTAGTTCCTTCTACTGACAGTAACGCTCGAAATAGTAAATAACGTATGTATTAAATGACATAATCTTTACTTAAAACACCTGTTGGGGTCACAATTTCTGCATGTCCCTTACACGCTTTTGTACATTCGAAATCTTAATTTGTTCAAACGCGATAATTAATTCGTTCAAACGAGATAATTAACTCGTTTAAACAAGATAATTAATTCGTTCAAACGAGATACTAATTCGTTCAAACGAGATATTTAATTCGTTCAAACGAGATAATTAATTCGTTCAAACGAGATACTAATTTGTTCAAATGAGATACTAATTTGTTCAAACGAGATAATTAATTCGTTCAAACGAGATACTAAATCGTTCAAACGAGATACTAAATCGTTCAAACGAGATACTAACTCGTTCAAACGGATTAATATTTTTTTTTGTTTGGCACTAATGGGCCTTCGTAAATTTTGATTGGCTAAGCACTAAAATCAATCTAATATTATCCAATCAGATGACTAAAATTTAAGGCCAAATTACAAACATTTAAACTGAAACCGTATCTATAATTATGTAATTTGCTAACAAATATAGATATAAGACAAAAACTAATTATTTATTGACAGAAGTAAAACAATCATTGAAAATCAAAATTACGCAGTTACTCTTCACTTCAAATGACAAATGTCATCAAAGTTAGTCTTCATCATCATCACTGTCACAACATGTATAAACATCAAATTCGGTTCGTTCGTTCGATCCTAGAGTTTTACGTCCACTTCCACCATGGGTGATATCGTATCAAATTCGGTTTCTTCAACAGTCTTTTTGTTTCATTTTCACATTTAGGGCTACTACACTTACACAAATTAGATATGTACATGTACAAGACAACCCTGGTGCGGTTCCACCCTGTCAGTGGTACGCTAGAAATGTTGGCTGCAGGCCTATATGATATGTGATGCCTAGGATTGTAGCGGTTGCTATGAAAACCGTTCTTACCTGTTTTCAAGCAATATCAAGTTTGGCATAATTCCCGTTTATTGGCTTATTTCAGCTGCTATTTTCGGCTCATTTCCAAGCGATTTCTTGCGACTAGTGACTTATTATAAGGTAGATCATTTTAGTCAGAATTTGATCAAACCGTGATTTTAAAAAAACACCACTTTAAAGCTTGCCTCCAAAAAAGAAAACAAAATTGTTCACAGTGCCTAGGATACCTGAAAACGGTTTTAATTAATTAATGACTGATTTTCTACTGTTGTGTGTTTTTCAGGGTTGTGTTTAATTATAAGATGGAGTTTGAAAATAGCGTGATGGTCATTTGTGCAGAATTTCTTGAAGATATTTGGCAATAAAGATTTGGGTTGATGAAGATCAGTGAGCACAACAAAAAAAAGCACACTGTAATATTTATATATGCAGTTATTCGCCTTGCTCAAATAGAGGGAGTTTATTGTCCATTCGATCACACGTTTTGACCAATCAGAATCGAGTGTCTGTTGTGACTTTTTGTCCATGTGATAGAAACAGTAGATTAAAAATGCTAGTAGTACTTACTGGATACAAGTTCAGTGAAACAAAATACAAGAACTAAGGGTAAAACTGCCATGATAACCAACTGTAATTTACAATCTATGTATCATCAATGGGACAGACATATTTATAGGACTCACGAACAATTATGTACCGGTACATATTAATTATGCAATTGTCCGACCACTTGTGAAAGAACACAGCCAGAAGATATTTAACCAGCCGTTCACACCGGTATACAATTAATTTTGCAATATACTTCGGATGCAATAAATTGACATTTTGATAACATTTGAAAGATAAATATCATTTAGTTTTTATTTATCTATGGATCCATTTAACTATAATCTCTGTATTTATCACCTTCATCAACAATTCATTTCACAATCCAACCGGGTACAGAGCTGTTCTTTATGGTCAATATATTTCGTCTTTTTAAAATTTCATATCTTGTGTGTGATTAGTGTGGTAGGCACTTTACTGGCCAAAAACAGAATTGAACCCGGGACCTCCTTGTTTCCTCCAAGAAAGTCTTGAGTATCCCAACGGGTACGGGGTATGCCCCTTCATAATATGCTAATGTTGCTTTATCCTCTCATTAGAGGGAATGAAAGACTCCGTAATTATTTTAGTTTTATTGACAGATATATTAGACATCTTACCGATTTATAATGTGACAGTTGAAATACGTTTATGTTCTGTTTGAATTTTTGCTTGGTGAAGACACCCCAGCAAGAGGATTAATATCATCATACCGGTTTGTAATGTTTGACCCGAATTTGACATTCGGTGTCTTGATAGCTTGTTTCATATTTATATCCTGAGCATTTTCATATGATCTATTTCAGTTGAGCGGCGGGTGCGAATGGGTTAACGATCTTAGGGTCTGTCATTGAGTCAAGTGGCGTTGTTTCGATTCCCCGCTTGTACGTGACAAGAAGTAGGATGGCCTGACCTTGATCCGAAACTGTATTGCTGGGTGTAGGATACTGAATTGAGACAATACAACCAGTCAAATTGCTCCGGGATGCAAGAGTGACACCCTATGTATTACACTTGCTTGTAGCTGCACTAGGGATGGCTTAGAGTGTACATATTGTGGGGGTTACTTAGAATTTTTTTTTTTATATGTTCAAAAAAGCAGACTGTTCAATCCTGCCCGGAAACCCCTGATAGGCATGTATGTGGTGTTATCCTATCACTTATATGTTCATATATGCAGAAATACATGTATATATTTCGTCTCTAGATATAGTTTGGTTTTGTGAAATAAGGGCCCCCAACAGCCGCTAACCAGTCAATGTTTCGTAAAAAGGTAATTTTGGTTATCGCGACCTGTCAATCAGACGTAGAATGGTCGGTACACTGGTTAAGCGAGACGAATTTCAAAACAAGGGCACGTAACATATCTTTTACTCAAAAGTGTCTGGATGTGGCTCTAACTTTTTCCCAAATTTTCGTTGGGTAGAACGCTTTCTACCACAGATGGAGCAACATGTGGCAACCACTTGCCCAAAAGCATGTATGAGGTTCTTCATGAAAAACTTGAGATACACAAGCTGGAAGTAGAGACAAGTAAACATGCAATTTCAGGCCCTACATTTCAACCTAACCAACCTCTCAACTCTTGTATCCTTCTGCATCAAAATTATGAATATTCACCAAAACCTGGCAGAAAATGTATTTTCAAACCCTTTTCTTCGATTCTACTCCAAAAAGTCAACAAAAATCGCCATGCAAAAGGGGTAAAAAGGAAAAGGGAGAGGAAGACTAAAAATAGCTTTGGCCCTTGTTTCGTGGGTGACGCCGTAGGAATATTTGGTGATCTGTGTCCTATATAGGGGTGAAACTTCAGGTATCACCAAAAGGCCTTTTTTATTTCCTTCCCATGTGTTCTGGCAACATGCGGGTGAAAGAAAATCAAAATCAAAGAATAACTGTAAAAACGATGGCCCTTTAAGTACACATGCTGCTTTATGTACACTGGTGCATCTCAAGTCCATAGGCCTTTTGTGCTAAAATTTAAAAATCTTTCTTATTAAAGGCAGTATCTGAGTTCTGTGAAAAAATTAGACAAGTTACAAAGAAACTACATAGAAAACACTCATAATTTGGAATTTTTTTCAAAAATATAAGTTTTTACTGCCATGTGATGAAAAATGTACAAAATTTACATGTAGCATCTCTCAAAATACCAATAATTTTCCACTTTATTAAATATCCAGACGGACAAGAAATATATTTTTAGAATCTGTGGACAATATGCAAACAGAAAAAATGCAAACCAGTTGCAATGATTGTAATATTAGAGATCTATACTGAAACATGTATGCCTACCCCCTGAACATGCCACTGATTGAATCAATCTAATCTATGGTTGCAGAACAAACATTACCAAAGGAATCTGTCTAACAGCTATGTTTTACCATTCCTGGCTAACATATACACATATAAACTAAAATAGGTGCAATAAATATGAATTATAGTAAAAAATAGGCCTTGATGAATGAAAAAAATGCCATATTTGGTCTATGATCACCCCTCTCTAACAGAAGGGTCACAGAATACACAATTTTCACAAATTTGGGAATATTTCAATGTTTCCAACATCTCAAACCTCAGAGGCATGTTACAAATTTGTATTGCAATCCTTGTGATGAAGCAAGATGTCTGGAACTTGACATTAATTTCCTGAAAAATTAAATCAAAAAAGTAGTCATGACAGAGTTGACAACATAAAAAGAGGCCTGAAAAGGAGAAAAATTAACATTTTATTGTTCTATAGGCAACATAAATGCAACAAACACCACAAATGCTGGATTTTGATAAGAAAATATTGAACATTAAACTGACATTTCACATCTACACCAGTTTTATATCTGGGTGTGGTCTCATTGGCCTGAAATGCCTCAGGGTTCTACGTTTGACTCTGAACAAATAAGGGTTAGAAATCCTTGAAATGCAGAAAAAAAATATTTTTGGGTGAAAAATAACATTCTTAGCTGTAATTCAACCACAAATTCCAATTACGATCATTTAAATGTCAACACAGGTGCATTTAAATCTTTCAAAACACATTAATAGAAATGGGTGGGGTGGGGCATTTATAGCCTCTCTTAACAGAATGATGGAGTAAAAAATGTCTAGAAAGGCTGGGATATTGCTTCCTACATGAAGGAAATGCAAGAATTTAATGTTTCAAAGAAGAAAAAAATGCTTATTCTGGGTAAAATAGTGGCAAAATTGAGCTAACCCCTGTTCTGAACATTTTGTACAAACCCATCTGCTGTAGGCCTACATTATTAACTCAGTGTTACCAATTTTCAATTTTCTGTAGGAAAGCTGGAGCTATTTCTAAACCTGACAACCATGTAGATCCCATCTAAGTTATATTAGCAATGAAAATAAGGGCATTTTTAGACATTTTGACTCATTTTAGTAGTCATGAAAATATTAATTTCTACATCAATATGGGGGGGAATCTCAGGATTTTTTGTGAATATTTCTGATTTTTAGACAGAATTTGGTGAAATTTCAATCCTGTTCACTTTATCTGTGCTTTCTGAGACTGAATAAGCCAACATTGGGCATAAGAATATTTTACTTACTCAACTGTTAAAAATTGAGAAATTTGCAGTAAAATCACATTTTTTCTTCAAAACTTTGATTTTTTTTTTTTTAATTAACTTTTTTTAGTTTTTCTGTAGCCAAACTATTTTATTCATATATTATCTGAGAATTTAATCTTCATATTTTCAAAACTAAGGCATATCAGTGACAGCCTTATCACACACAGACAGGCCACAGATCACTAAAGAATTCCCCATTGACTCCAATGTTAATTCTCGTATCTTAGACCGGCTCTAACTTTTTCCCAAATTTTCGTTGGGTAGAACGCTTTCTACCACACATGGAGCAACATGTGGCAACCACTTGCCCAAAAGCACGTATGAGGTTCTTCATGAAAAACTTGAGATACACAAGCTGGAAGTAGAGACAAGTAAACATGCAATTTCAGGCCCTACATTTCAACCTAATCAACCTCTCAACTCTTGTATCCTTCCGCATCAAAATTATGAATATTCACCAAACCTGGCAGAAAATGTATTTTCAAACCCTTTTCTTCGATTCTACACTAAAAAGTCAACAAACATCGCCATGCAAAAGGAGGAAAATGGAGAGGAAGACTAAAAATAGCTTTGGCCCTGGGTGACGGCGTAGGAATATTTGGTGATCTGTGTCCACGTGATCCTAGTGCGGCCGCCATTTTAACTGAACAAAAATTTCGCAGAGCAGTTGGGTTAAATCAAATAATATAATTATTCGGTAAGGTTTCAGTCTATGCGAAATGATATTTTTTTTTAACTGGACATTTGGGCAGGTATTATTCCAACTATTACTGAATGAGATTTTACTGGTCCAAAAAAGTTCATACCAAAAATATGCATAAAATAAGTAATAGGCCTAGGCTAATGCCAATGGCCTAAAACTCGAAAAACAACAAACAGTATATATAAGGGGGAAAATACTTTACTTTATTACAAATATTATCTATTGTATAAAGACTTTTTCGCACACTTCCTTAATTGTCATTTTGTGTTAATGATAACAATAAATAGACCGCGCAAAGAAAATATAATCCCTTAGATGACAATCGAGTCTACCAGAAGCCAATGTTATTAATAAAATAAAAGGACTTTCGTTTTAGTCTGGATTAACCTAGCCTACTACTTACTAGACTAGCTCGATATACGGTACTACGTACTCGAGATAAGATTTTGTTTACATTTTAAACAATAGTGAAATTAACACAATAAATTAAACGAGAATTCAACAGTCCGTGCACGAAGTGCCGTCAGTCAGTGCCAATACGGCGATGATTTAATATTTGTAAGCTGAGTGTCCGTTAACCCGTCCACGGTTTAGGTAATACCGGTACTTGACTTGTATTATTCAATTGATTAGAATAGATCAGTTTTACTCATTGGTTGTTTATATTGTTTTATTTACCTAATAATCAACTAGCTTGGTTCGCCATCCCGACAGCGATTAGTTCGAGTTCAAATTCTTTATTCCTTTCAGCCAAAGACTCATCAGGTATAACATATAGTACAAACAAATAAATAAATACAATATGTACAAAAACAATATAGCAGGGTACGAAATAACACGCGAACGGTCGTTCAGGTTACGCATCGGTTACCATGACCTGGAAACACGCGAACGGACTTCCGTTCTCGACCACCGAGCTATAATTTATAAACTAAAGGTTTCAGTTAAAATATTCCCTCCACTACTACATTAAAACATTTTACAATTATAAATGAATGCCTGAAAGATCGTTAAGTTCGCACCTGTCATTTTGTCGGTAGCAAATCAACTCGCGGACCCATCATACCTGGCAACGACATACTCATTTGCCTCTTTAGCGAACGAAAGCGCCA